GGTGACTTGGTGCTATAGAAATAAACTGAATTGAATTAACTTTTTATGGGAAGAAAAACACGTTAATGATAGAAATATTTACAAATACCAACAAATAGTGGAGCGAGTAAAGAGCAGCAGAGTGAGGAAATGGTGTCAATTTGTCCTCCAGCAGTCTATGTCCATAGCAGCATAACTAAGAGTTAGGAAACCCAAGTCAACCCTAACTATAGGATTTATCTAAAGGGAAAGACTTAAGCCTGATCTTAGATGTAGACAATGTGCCAGCCTCAGTTGGTTCCACAAAACAAGAGATTGATAATTGAAAGTTCTGCCTCCCATTTTATTTTTAGAAACTCTAGGAACCACAAGTAAACCTGCAGTCTGGAATTAAGTCCTCATTTCCTCAGATACACTTTTATTTTAGTTTTGTACCCAGAACATCTCCTGCTAGTTTTTCTAAGTGTTGTGTGCACATAATAAAGCCAGCACCACTCTGTAGGTCATATCATCAATCAATCAATCAATCAATCAGTCAATCAGTAAATAAAGTATCAGGAGGAACATCACTGAATAGAAGTGAATGGAATTCCTTGAGATGGAATTAAAAACAGAGGGAATAAAGGAGGGATATTGTAAAATTGTTGTAAAAAATAAAAAACTGCCAGTTTGATGGCGTCATCTTGAACCTTCTAAGAATTTCTAACCAACTTGAGTCTTTGTCCTGAGTGCAGTTTGTCTGTCTTTGTCAGGAACGGCTTGGAGATGGAGCCAGACTTCCACATCAGGGTGGACAGAGTGGCTGACAGCTGCTCGGTAACGCTGCTCAACTTCACCGCTCTCATGTTTCCACAGGATCTTGGCTCAAACGTCCTCTTGTTGTTTTGCAGCACGACCACAAGCGCTCGGTCTTTCTGGGGAACTTGCCGTTTGGTGAGCTGCTGCGCCATCCTCAAGCTCGTGGACCTGTGTGAGCAGAACAGTGATGCTCAGCTGTCGCGTCTTTGCAGAGATCAAGGAGTTGGAGATCCGAAAGCATTTTGAAATGTGTGGACCGGTGGAGGCGGTGCGACTCGTGCGAGACAAGAACTCCGGGCTAGGCAAAGGATTTGGATACGTCCTGTTTGAGGTTTTCTTTTATTCTCAGTTCTCTACGTAAAAAACTGACGGATGATAGTGAATGGAGTGCACCTATACAGCTCCTTTCTGTCTAATCAAGCCACTCGAAGCTCTTTACAACAATCTGTGCATCATTTACCTCCACACACACACACACACACACACACACACACACATTCACAGCTCTACTAGATCTGCACAAAGACTAATCAGAGCTTTATCACATTCAGACACCGACATCAGAGGCAATGAGGGGTTCAGTGTCTTGTTCAGGGACACTTCAACACGTGACTGCTGGGGGAATCAAACCCCCAACTCATTGGAGGACGACCCCTCTGACCTCTCAGCCACAGCTGCCCCCACCCTGCACTGAAACTGATTCAGTAAGGGGACCTGACGATGCCTGCCAGGCCCCCGTGTGGTTACATTTGTTGGTACCCTTCCAAAATAAAACTTAGCTGATGTGACTGGAGATAAAAAGCTTTAATTTAGTCTCAAACCTCCCAGAAGCTTTGGGGCCTGTCCGCTGCTTTTTGGTGAATTTCTTTCAGGCTGTAGTTCAGTTTAAATACGACCAAAGTGAGTGCACCCCTCACATTCCTGCAGATATTTAAGTTTGTCTTTTCATGGGACAAAATGACACTTTGACACAAAGACAAATAATCTGGTCAGTGTGCAGATTATACAACTGTGCACATTTATTCTTCCCTCAAAATAACTCGGTATACAGCCATTAATGTCGAAAAGTGAGCGCACGTCTTAGTGAAAGTTCCTGAAGTGACAATATTTTGTGTGGTCACCATTTTTTACCAGAACTGCCTGAACTCTCGTGGGCCTGGAGTTCACCAGAGCTTCACTGGTTGCCACTGGTCCCACTCCTCCCTGACGGAGCTGGTGGATATTCGAGACTTTGCGCTCCTCCACCTTCTGCTTGAGGATGCCCCAAAGATGTTCTACTGGGTTTAGGTCTGGAGACGTGCTTGTCCAGATCATGCTCTGCTTCACTATTTCACAGTACATGTTGGAGTTCATGTGTCCCTCAGTGAAATGTAACTCCCCAACACCTGCTGCACTCATGCAGCCCCAGACCATGGCATTCCCACCACCGTGCTTGAGACCATCTGAACCAAACAAATGAATCCTGGTCTCATCAGACCACAGGACATGGTTCCAGGAATCCTTGTCCTTTGTTGACACGTCTTCAGCAAACTGTTTGTGGACTTTCTTGTGTCCAGACTTCAGAAGAGGCTTCATTCTGGGATGATGGACACGCAGACCAGTTTGATGTAGTGGCGTCTGGTCTGAGCACTGACAGGCTGACCCCCCACCTCTTCGGTCTCTGCAGCAGTTCTGACAGCACTCCTGCACCTGTCTTTCGAAGATGGATGTGACGCTGAGCACGTGCCCTCAGCTTCTCTGGACGACCAACGCGAGGTCTGCTCTGAGTGGACCCAGTGCTGGATGATCTTGGCCAGTGCTGCAGCTCAGCTTCAGGGTGGTGGCGGTCCTCTTGTAGCCTTGGCCATCTTCATGTAGAGCAACAGTCCTCAGAGTTGTTTGCCATGAGGAGCCATGTTGGGACTTTCAGTGACCAGAATGAGAGTGAGAGCTGTACTACAAACCTGAACACACCTGTGCACACCTGAGACCAGGTGACACTAACGAGTCACATGACATTTTGGAGGGAAAATGACCAGCAGTGCTCATTTTGGACATTTAGGCGTGTGCTCACTTTTGTGATACACTGTAGTTTACTTCCTCGCATGATCAACCCGGGGTTGCATTTTTTCTTGCGTCCACAATACACGATGTGTTGGAGAACGACCGCTGTAACCATTGAACCATAGTTGCCCATTAAGTACTGCTGAGTAAAAAGTCAACCAGATAATCTAGACTGGTTAATGTGACACCAAACCATCATCGGCGTAGTAAGATCATTCCCACCGACGTGTGGTCGTTGACCCAGGCAGGTAGAGCTGAAGGCCTCGGGATGGAGAGGTGGATCAGTGACTCGTGCAGATTACACATCTGCAGCGAGCTGGATGTTTACCAACAAACATCTGGATTTGTAATAGGAAGCTTGTCAAAGTTTGCTTCTGACTTTAAGTTTGTTGAAACTGAGTTCCACCATTTTTATTTCCTGAAGCAACTCAAACCGTAACTTTGTAACTTCTAATTGTTTGTGTGGTGCAGCACGTCGACTCGGTGCAGCTGGCGCTGGAACTGGACGATTCGAAGCTACAAGGCCGGTCCATTCGTGTGAAGAGGTCCGTGAAGAAGGAGAAGCAGGAGAGACGAGCTGGCAGCCAAGGAACCTCAACGAGAACCAGCAGAACCTTCAGAAAACGTCCAGGACAAGAGAAAGAAGCTGGTCCAGGAGGTTGGAAGTCCTCAAAAAGGTTTGGTAGAAACCAGCAGGGGTCAACCAAAAGCCACAGCTCATTTAAAGGAGAGATGGTGGATCCAAATAAAAAAACAAAAAAGAAAGGTCTGAAGAAGAAGGTGAAGACCAACAAACGTGTTCACACCTGACGTCTGAAGTTCTTCTGGTTTTTCAACAGCAGCTTTGAAGTTTCCACCTCTGTAATTATCGTCTAAAAAAACTGCTCCTAAAATGTTATTAAAAATACATTTTTAAGTTGTTTTCTGAATTGTTTGTTGGAATGTCGTTTTAATGAACAAGTCGTGTTTGAATAAATCCAGTTCTGTTTGAGTTTGAAGGTTTCGTTCATCAGAACAAGGTGAAAATTAAACTGCCTGATTTTACATAATTTACCTAATTTAAAGATGTTTTAGAAAATATTTATATACAGCAGTCCCTCGCTACTTCGCGGTGCATTTTGCACAGACTCGCTCGCGTTTTTTCAAAATAAGATTGGACGTGACGCAACAGGCTGACTGATGGATGAGCCGCACGATCAGCGTGGATTTTTTATTTTAAAAGAATTATTTAGCACTTGCAGAATCTTCCTCCTGCAGCAGTCATATCTGTTATGCAGCAAAGTGGGCGTGGCCAAGAGCGCTGGCAGAGAGCAGCCGGAGGAAGAGAGCAGAAATCATGACATTCTGCGCTCTTCTTTTATTAGAGCGTTAGAAACTGTTTACAATATCGCAAGAGTATGGGAAGGGTTTAAAATGCCTATATATTTATATATTAAAATAAACTACTTACTACTTGTACTATTCCTACTTTGCAGTTTTTCACTTATCACGGGGCTTCAGGGTACCGACCCCCACAATAAACAAGGGACTATACACCGATACAAATTTATACTTCTGATAAAATATGAAAATCATTAAAACACGACTAATGAAAATCCTGGTTCAGGGAGGATTTATCACATAAAATGAAAATATGAATCGTTAAAAAAACAAAACCTGATGATCTAGGAAATACGCTAAACATGTCATTTTCAGCAAGTTCTGCAATAAATATTCACTCTGCATTTTCAGGAAATGCTCTCTAGTAGTAATCATTAACTAAATCATGATTAACTCAGAGAAGCCGGTCAGGCAGATGTTTTTGTCCACGCTAACAGCTTGCCAACCAGATTTTATTTTTAATCATTTTTCACAAAAATGAAAGCTCGTTACTTTAGCCAACATTAAACTCCGTATTATTTCCTGCCACGACTCAGGGTTTGTTGGTAATTTCCAACCAAACGTTCGTGTTTCTGCTCAAATGTTTGTGCTGATCAATACATCAGTCTAGTTGAGTTAGTTCGGCCTGGATGAAGACTTCTGCCTCTTTCGGTTCTCTCCGACCAACTGATGAGGTGTAACTATGGCGACAGAACATCGTTTTAAAGTTGGTTGGACGATCCCTTTAACGTGTTGGTTGAATAAATTCATTTGAACCCACAGAGCACGTTCAATTAGAAGACAACAAAGTTTTCACTTTTTATTTTTTCTTCCAAAGAGCGTTTTTCTTAAACTTGAACAAATAATTTTACTTAAAAAAAAAATGTTTACAAGTTTAAACCAAAAAGACTAAAAACAATAAATACTGAAAGTTTCAAAGCAGAGAGAAGACTCTTCTTCTGACACTTTATAATGATATTGTCAAGATGGATGGTGTTAACCTGGGACTGTCAGAGTGTGTGTGTGTGTGTGAGAGACGATGGGTGCAGACTCCTGAAGGACGAAGTGGTTTTCAGCAGACCTCGGTCCAGCCAGTACTCGTCTTTTGATGCAGTGAAACTGAACATGCTTCTTGTATTTTTGCCACTTTGTGATCAATTTACCCTAAAAGTAAATAACAAGTAAACATGTTGATGTGAATAACTTCAGAAATAAAAATAACCCAACAAATCCTGTTGGTACATGTCGATGGACGTGTCTAATGTCCGAGGTATTGGCAGGTCCAGGTCAGGGTCCAGGTCCATGAAGGGAGGCGGGTTCTGCTCGGTTCTTTATTCTAGATCGTCTTCACTCGCACTCTGTGCACTCACAATGCGCTGCAGGGCAGAGCACCGACAGATGTAAAACAGACATCACGAGGTTCTGACCAGTTAGTTCTGAGGTCTGGGAGTTACCTGGCTGATGGTGGGCAGTTTGGTGAGCAGCATCTGGAAGACCGGTGCAGGTAAGGTCTGCTGCAGCACCTGCAGAAGCTGCTGAGGCTGGCCGCACACCGCGATGGCGTTGGTCAGGTGGTCCACACCTTTCTCATAGTCCCCTGTACGCAGAAACAGTCATAAATATTAATCAGTTAGAGAAACTGCATTTTCACAGGAAATGCAGTGTGACTGCTTATGGCTGAAGAATCTGCTGAAAACTAAAAACATGCTGAAATGCAAGAACAAGCCTAACTGAGCAGAAGAAAATAGAAACAACACATTTGTTGAATTATGTTTAGATACGCAGAAATGAGCATAAAAAATAGGATATTAGCTAAATAAAAGCTGAAATTAGAAAAAAAAGTAGCTGAAAGGGCAAAAAATAAACTACCAGAAGGAAGCAGAAAACTGAAATGAGTTAAAAAATGTGCAAGTAGCTGAGAAAGCTAAAATTAGCATAAAAAGCTAATAGCAGCTGAAAACAGAAACTAGCAGAAAAAAGCATAACCAGCTGAAATTAGCATAAATAATTTAATTAGGCTGAAAAGTACCAGAAATTAGCATAAAAATTTGAAATTTATCTGAAAACTGCTGAAATTGGCTAAAAATGCTGAAAAGGTAGAACAAGCTTAAATTTACAGAAGAAAGCAGAAAGAACAAGTTTACTGAAAGAGGCAGAAATAAAAACACTGAGGAAATTATCAAAAAAAAGATGAAACATAGCTAAAAAGCAGAAATATTGCAAAAATGTTGAATTAGCTGAAAAAGCTAAAAATTAGCATAAAACAGCTAAATAGATGAAAAGGTAGAAAAAGCTGAAACTTGCAGAAATAAGCTGAAAGGGACATAAACTGAAATTAGCAGAAAGAAGTTAGAAGCACAAAAATGTTGCAGATAGCAGAAAGAACCTGAAAGGTCAGAAAGCGGCTGAAAGTAGCTGAAAAAAGTTTAAATTTGCAGCAGGAAGCTGAAAGAAGCTGAATCAGAACAAAATGTGAAAGGAGCAGTAAAAGGTTGTAAACACATGTAAAGATTTGAAGGATGGAAAATGAGCTCAGTTCATTTTCTATGAGAATAAAATGTCAGAAAAGTCTAAATATTTCAAAAAGCTAAAGTTGCACCAATACTAAAAGTCACAGCAGGATTGTCCTGAAAGAGCCGAACGTTTTGATTATGGATCACTAGTGTACCACTTTGTGTTGGCCACGGTCAACAAGCTGTGGTCGCCATCTTGAACTGGGGTGACTCCAAAATTGCACCGGTTACAGAAGTACACTTGGTAATTACTTCCTGGGAGCTTCATTAAATCTGTCGAGCGATTCGTGGATTTTTTGCTAACACGGACAGAGTTGACTCCCAGCACTCAATGGCAAGTTTTGCTCGATCAGTTGTAACAAAGTGTGGTGGGGGATCAGTCTCAGCTACTACCACAGGCTTATTAGTTTGATGAATCTGGAAGTGGGGCCATCTGAGGAGTTTGTTGTTCTCCATGTCACTTCAGTGCTGATGTGGGCAATGACCATTATCTTTAAAGGAAGTGATTTGGTGGAACGGCCTCCCTGATCCTCATGGGTTTGCCTTCCAGTGGGAACACCACCTGCAGAAGGGGCCATATGGGTCGGGTGCATGACGTCATGGGCAGTGGCTGAAGGCGGGGGCCTTGGTGCTCTGACCCTGGCTTCAGGGTCCTCAGTCAGAAAAGGGTGGATTGCTCTCTTCCAGGAGGAGCTGTGTCGTAAAGGGTACTGGGACCAGTGTAAACCAGTGGTGATGGAGGTTATGAAGCTAGAAAAGGTGACCTGGCTGTCCCGAAGGACTCCTGAAGCAACGAACAGGTACAGGGTGGTCAGAAGGTCTGGAACTTCTGTGGATGGAGATGCAAAACTTTGGGTTTAAAAGGAATTCAGAGGCCATGGAAGAGAACTTCTGGTTGGCCAGATTATTAAGACTTATAGCTGAAAAAGACGGCGTTTGTAATATTTCTTCACCGTTTATTGTTATCACATTTCAGTAAATAAGAATCATTTTTAACCCCATATCGAGCATCCTTGGTTTCAACACACCTCAAGTCATTTAAGTGAATGCTGATTAATAAGCTGAAGAACTTGAGGCCATGCTGAAGAAATAATTTAATAAAATCTTGACTCAGTTGTGTTAGAGCAGGGAAACGACTAAAACATGCAGGACAGTGGCCCCTGAGGACCAGGACTGAGCACCTATACATCATGGTGCTGGTGTGTGGATGTTACCCTGAGCAAGAAGCTCTTCTCCCAACTGGATCTCCTCCAGGAAGAACTTCTGCACGGCCTCCGCGTCCTTCAGGTCAGGGAGCTGCAGAACGACCAACATTCAGCCACATGAAGGACTTTTAGAATGAAATATTACTCCAAGTAAAACAGAATAAACCATGTCAAATGCTTCAAGCTTTAACATGAATGCTTTTGTGATCTTCTTGTGTGTGCGTTTGAACATTTGTGAAGCTTTATAATTTTCTATATTTCTGCATAACATGACGACCTAAAACAAACATGATCACATTTTCACACAAGTCCTAAAAGTAGATAAAACCCAGATAAACAATTGAGACAAAAATATTATACTTGGTCAGTCATTTATTTATTGAGGAAAATGATCCAATATTGAAGATGGAATGAAGCGTTTCTTCCGTTAAATATAATTATTTGAGAAAAATCAATACGGTAAATAAAAAAATCAATCAATATTGTCAAAAACGGCAAGTTGTGCAAGAACAGGAAATCTGTTTGGGCAGAGGTGCACATACGTGTGCTCACCTTTGCCAACCCTGCTTTGTCTTGGGCCACCTTCTGCTTTCTTCTTCCTGTAACAAGAGGAAAACTAAACAGTTTAAATTTGTTCGTCAGGTTGAAGTTTACTTTAAATGTCCAGTTACACAAAAACCCACTGGTTTTCAGAGACATCGTTCACTCGGTGAACAACCAGCGTGCATCTCAAATATCGTGCAGACAGAACTAATTCTGTCGGGCGTTTTACTGGAAAGCCCTTCTCCAAATGGAAAAGGATTTCATAACCAGTTATGAAAACAAAGAAAAACCTTTTAAGGACTAACATTTGTGGAAGTATATTCCCTGCTGCGTTTTATTCCTGGGTTTGGACTAAGATTATCGTATGATGGGAGGGCAGCCATTTTGGTCAAACTTTGAAAATGATGCAATGCACGAGAAATGGCACACTGAAGAAGAGTGTGCGTTGTGTCGCTCAGCTCTTAGCACACACAGTTTGAGCTTAATATCTGTACGTTTTTATGAGTTATCACCATTTATGTGTTGGCTAAGGCTGATTAGCTGTGGCAGCCATCTTGAAATGAGATGATGCTAAACATTTTAGTTGTACGTGTAGGTCCAACGTTAACTTTCAGAAAGTTGGTTCATGAGATACTTTGCAACACACACACACACACACACACATCCTTTGGCTGTGGGTGATAAATATAAAAGGTTTCTTTGCCGTTTACTCTTATAAGATGATGAAAAATGCTTCATAGTAGCCATCTTGAATCATATTTCATCTTCGGGTTAACACTTCTATTAATTTGCATCAAATAAAACATTTTAAACAGTAACTCAAATTACAGGGTGGCATGATGGCTCAATTGGGACTTGTGGCCCGTCCAGGGTGTCCCCCGCCCCTAGCACAGTGACTGCTGGACACCAGTGACCCCCACGACCCAAAAAGTAAGAAGTGGGTAAAGATGATGGATGGAATAAACTAATGAAACTGGCCATGACAAAAAGGACGGTACTCCTAGAAAAGATGATTATTTGACCACAAGGACATGTTAAACTAAGATGTGTCTGTAATTTGCACCACAGGCCTCTTCTTTAAAGCAGCTGGTCCATTTAAAAGGTGAAAAGTAGTCACTGTGCTGTTCGGCCTTGATGGTGTGTACAACGAACATGAGCCACAGAAAACTAAGGTCAAAGTTCTAGAAGTTAAATCTGGTCCTCTAAGACGAAACGTTTCTATATGTTGTTGTTGTTGTTGTTTTGTTGAATGTCCAGATTTAACTTTTTTAGATTTTTCTACCTGGATTATTGAGCATGCATCAGGATATGGACGTAGTTGTCTCAGTTTTTAAAACAATATATTGACATCCTGTCAAAAATAAGGAAAATAACTAACGACTTCATTTATTTAACTATAAATGGAAAATAGTCGGTGTTTGTAAATAAAAACTGATTAACTATTTAGTACATTTTAGTTTCACTCGTATCATGATGCGCTAAATAAGAAGAAAAGTGTGGCTTTACTCTTCTACTGGTTTTAACTGGTTAACCAAACCTGTTAACCAAACCTGTTAACCAAACCTGTTAACCAAAGCGCCTTAAAGATTACCACTTCCTGAACACGTGACATGTGGACAGAGCTCGTTGGGAGAACTTCATTCAAACCCAAACGGAGTACAAATACACACATTTACGATCCAAGAATACTTTAATGAAATCAAACGTTAGGCTGAGCCCAGTCGAGTCCCACTGGACCTGCTGCGGGTCTCGAACACTGTGAAGGAGGAGAAGGAGCAAAGAGGAGGTCAACACTCACGTTCCCGCAGCCTGTTCTTGAAGTTCGGGTCATTCCGTCTTTTCCTGTCAAAATAAATGCAGTAACCGATTAACAGAGCCCCGCACAGCCCCGCAGCTATCGCACTCGTTCTGCCGCCCATTATAACCCCCACAAACCGCTCCTAAAAAAAAAGCTATTCGGGACTAACTACAATTTATTTATTAGTACTCTGCTGCTAGCTTCTGTCAGGAGGAGCTAGCCGAGGCTTAGCAGCAGAAGGACCGAGGACCCCGCCGTTTGACAGATTGTAGCCGACCGTAAGCGCCTGAATAAAAAGGTAACACGTAAGCGCCTGAATAAAAATGTTACAATGACAATAAATGTCCAAGGTTTACAATGTAGAAAACATTAATAATACTCTATTCCATTTATTGTGCTGTGCAGTTTTATTTAGTTTTTAACTGAAGCATGTAAATTAAACTAAATAAATAAAAAGTAAAAGGTATTTAAAACACTATAAAATCTCAATCTGAAGTATAGTTGTATAATAAATAGCAATCATTGCATAGAGAAAGAACAATAAGGAAAAAAGAAAATGAGATGATGCCAAATCATCATAGTCTTCTTCGACCTACAAATATAAGCTCATTTCAGCTGCTTTTATAAAAAACATCGTGCTCTTTTTATCACGATCCATGCCTCATGAATGACCGTTGGATGGGGTTAAGAGTAAGACCAGTAAACTGAGAGCTGAAAAAATAATAGTAGATATTAAACTGTGAGGGGTTTTATTTAATATAGGAGCTCATTTGAAAAAAAATAATAGTTTTTTGTCCTCCATGCCCCAATCTTAAAAGTCTCCCCCCGCTCCACCCCTCCTCTTATGTAAAAAGATAACTAACTTGTACTCAAAGTAAAATTTTAAATACTTACATTTTACTTCTGCCTGAATAGATTTTTATGCAGGTGATTTTACTCGTGCTTGAGTACATTTTCAACAGAGTAGCGTTGCTTCTACTTGAGTAAGCTATTTTAGGCCGGCACGGTGCTCAGCTGAGAGCGGTTACCTCTCAGCAAGAAAGTTGTCGGGTCAAATCCGGGCAGGGCAGTGTTCCCCAAAGGTTACTTGCTTTGTGAGGGCACTCAAGGTACAAGCACAAGGTGTTGTAGGTTAATCACCATTTGGTAACTAACGGTCCAACAAAGACTAATGAAATGACTCAGCCTTATGAAGGGTAGTAATCAGTTGTCTTGTCCACCTGCAGCGATAAAAGAGACCGAGAGGGGGCGCCAAAAGCACAGATCCTAATACAACTATAGTTTTATACCTTTGGGCGTACCATGCTCTGAATTACATCGCTCTAATTTTACTTGATAATAAAATTTATACTGTAAAATAACTCTGCTGTTGTCCTGACCATGCTTCAGTATTCAAGAACATTTCTTTTCAGAAATGTCCTTATGCAAGACCACAATGGTGTCTTTTACTCCAAACTAATGACTCTCTCATTTTTGTTCTCTACAAATTATTATTTTTTTTCCAGGTTTAAGGACTCAAGAGGTCAGAAGCACAGTTGTGGGAAGGGGTGAAGACTCTCTTGAGAGGAGAGATTATATTTTATTGGGTCTATCAAAAAGAAAAAAATACCTAGAAGAGAGAAACTAGACAGGTTTTCTGAATGCATAACAATTAGTTTTATTTTTGTACACTTAAAAAAACACCCAGAGATGTATAAAGAACAAATGTCACTGCAAGCCAAATCTGATCTTTTTACATCCCAGCACACCACTGAACATTTACTCAATCTGAAATCCAAGTTTTGTGAACAAGGGAATAAAACAAATACATTGATTGTTCATCAGATATCTGCAAGTAAAGGCTGCAGTTAAATCTTTACAAAGTGGTAAAAGCTCAGGTCCAGACAGCTTCCCAACCAAATCCTAAAAAGACCTTTTACAAGCGGCTGGCTCCATTTCCTTTTAATGCAGGTGCACGTTCCAAAACTTGACAATTGATAGACAATGGTGTAAAAAGCATATAAAATGAAAAGTAAATAAAATAAATTATATAAAAAAGCTACATTATAAAGTGATGTAAAATACTAAAAACATGTCTGCATGTTCACTTCATTCAACCTCCTGTATCCACGATCTCGTTCTTTCAGTCTCTACGCAGAGCTCGTGACCATAGGAGAGGGTAGACCGACCGGTATACAGAGAACTTGCCTCACAGCTCAGCTCCCTCTTCACCACAACGGACCGGCACAGAGCCCACAATACTGCAGAAGCTGCACCAATCTGTCTGTCAATCTCACGCTCCATTCTTCTCTCACTCGTGAACAAAACCCTGAGATACTTGAACTCCTCCAGTTGAGGCAGAACCTCACCCTTGACCTGAAGACAACAATCCACCCTGTTACGACTGAGGAAATATAAAAAAATAATTGTATATTAAATATAATTTTAAAAAATACAACCAAAATGTGGACTGTCAACTTGATCGGGTTGTACCTTCACCTCTTTCTCACTGACCCAGCTCTGTGTGACACTGATGAAGCAGCACTTTTTTCCAGGGTCATCCCAGTTTCATTTGGAGCAGAGCGAGTTTGTCTTGAGACTTTATCTCTAAACATAAATCCTTGCTTGTCAACAGCCAGTTTCCCAACAACGCTTGTACTAAATTCAGCACACCAGTAACCTGAGGCGGGGCAGATAGCACGCTGCGCTGGGGTGAAGGAAACGCTGACATGTCTGGCGTACGTGAGCACAGGCCAAGTTCCTCTAATTTCAGTGCCACTCAACCCAGGGGGGACACGCACCGGGCCACGTGCTCACAGCGACAGAAAATACACAAGGATTTACTTTCACTGCTTTCGTCTTGTTCATCGTGCCAGATTGTCCTTCCTGTGTGCAGGTTAATTTAAGACCAGGCTAAAATGAGAACTGGATGATGGGAAGCATGTCTATGAGTCCAAGGTTGCATCGTGCCAAATTTTCATTCACAGTAAAACAAACAACCAACAAAAAAAAAAGCTTCTTAGCTGTTTATTTTGTTTAACGACCATTAATAATTGGACTTCTTGAAGAATCCGCATCAACTTTTCTCCATTTTGGAATGTTTCCTCGTGGGTTCTTGATGATCAGCAGCTGGAGTATCAAAACTGTCCAAAGGTCAAAGGTGTAAGGTTTTGTCGATGACAATGTTAAATACAACACCAGCTTCTCAGCCACTGTTAACAGTTTATTAACAGTTTATTACCCTTGTGATTTTTAGCCTAGTCTTTCATGCTTATATTGTACTTTACATTATTTATTCACAAAACATATTTTCTTAGCAAGCAATCTAAAAGAAATGGGAGAAAATTAGTCTGAGTGTTCAACAGGTGCCTTTATTTCTATGGAAGAATAAGTCAGCCCAGTTTATTATATTAAGATAGGGCAAAATAATAAAACATGCCAACAAACTCTGTTTATTACTAACTGTTAAAAAACACAACATTTAAATATTGTAACTTATACCATGCAGATTGTGAATATGGTGACTAGAAGGACAGAGTCACTGAAGAAGGACACTTTGCTGGCAGCAAAATTTAAATAAAA